AACTGGCGACATCATCATCTTCCTCTTCATGTCCCCCCCCCCCCCCCCCTCATGCTTCAGCCGCATCATCATCTCCTCTCCTCCTAACCCACTATCCCCCCGGTCCCCCCTTCCCTAGATTCTCTCCCTCCTGACATTCTCACAGAATCCGTGATCTAATTGCCCCATTACCCATTTTTCCATTGTTAATCCCTACCTTACCCTACGGACATCTTCGCAAAATCGCACACATCTTCCTTTGGCGACTTTGATCAAATCGCCCTCGTTAATCCCTACCTTCCTGAACTGCTAGGCGACTTCTGACGTGTAGCGCACATGATCCTCAACTAACCCTCTCTTTACCCTTTTCACTATTATATAGTGTGATGTCTAGCGCGCACATATTTTGCTTTGTAACCATTAAGCATCAGTGAGGCGTTGTAAAGGCGAGTAGTTTGTCTGTCCGTGATGTTATCTCTCTCCGTCCGTGCACCCGCCGATTCTGCCCGCCTGTGTATGACAGGTCTGAAGTAGTAAGTTTGCTTTCGGGGATGTGTCAAAAGTTTGCATCTTTTTAAAAATCCTGAATGAAACTTCTTTGGCTTTTAGTCCTCGCTGAACTAGAAAGCGAAGCGTAGCAATGTATTAGAAAGAATATTATAAAGTTATGATTTAGCCCCAGCTGATTAATAATCTATATTTTTTTTTCTTTTATCATTTACATAAATTTATACAACAGATATCTGTTGCCTGGATTGACTAACGCCATGTAGAAGTATGCAAGTTCAGTGGAATATCGAAAATATATCGTAAAGGACATAGAGTAGATAAACAGGAATAAAAAGAGATACACATGCCGATAGAGATACAGATACAAATATCAAAAGATAGGAGTAAAGTAACGCGCAGACGGAGAAACAATGTAACGAAACACACACTTGAGTAGAAACACATACGCAACGAGAGAAAACCAATCCTGGAAGAGAATAGGGAGACACGGCTAGCCACACAGACATACAGAAGAGCCTGGACGCAGAGCAAGCCACTCAGCCCTCACCTCAATTAATTTTGCATGGTCTTTTCGTCTCCTTTCCTTTTCCCCCTCTTCTTCTTCCCTTCTTCTGACCACATATCCTAATCATTACCTCCTTTTTACCCTTTTCGCCACAATACTTGGTCATAATGCTGTGTGACCTTTGATGTCTAGCACACCTATGTTTTTACCCATTAACTATTCTGGAATCCACAAAAAAAAAAAAACTTTCTTACCGTCCCCAAGCCCCACCCTGTCGCTATATTTTGACTACGCCGCTAATAACCTTAGATGTTGACGCGGCTGAAAATTTCAACAAATAAAAACAAATTTATACCGAGCTAAAGACTTGACTGAATGGCCGTATTAGACCGAACCAAAGACAGAGGCAGAATTACGCACAGACAGACAGACTGGCAAAGAAGGCAGAGCGAGCTACAGAAAGACTGACAGATGGGTATAAAGGCAGCGAGTCCACAGGCAGACAACGAGCCACAGACATAAATCCAAAGAGGCTGACCGGGCATCTGGCAGATAGGAAGAGTGATCCGCAGAGAGACAAGCACACTTAACCTAACTTTTACTCTTTCCGCACTATACTTTGTCATAATGCTATATACGATCTTTGATGTCAGGCACATTTGCTTGCATTGGCCATTAACCATTCTGGAAATCCACAAACATCGCGTGTTGACTCGACTGAAATATTTCAATAAATAAATAATAAGCAAGCAGAGGCTCAGAAAACAACAGGCGGACGGAGAGGCAGAAAGAAAAGAACAATGGGAAAAAAGACACATGCTCAGCAAACAACACAGACAAACACAGGAGCGAAGCGAGAAACAAACTCGCACACACGAGTCCAATAAGACCACATACAGGCGGACAGAGGCAGACAGACAGACAGACAGACAGAGACGGACAGAACAGACAGACAACGAGGCCCCCCACAGACGGACAGAGAAGCAGTTAGAGCAACAGACAGACCCAGAATATCAGAAAAACAGCAACACACAGACGAACATCGAAGAAAGCGAGCAACACAGGCAGAGAAGACCACCCACACACTCACAGACGAGGGAAGAGAGACTCAAGACCCACAGACCTCTGGTGTCAAGCGGCTCCTGTCGGGGGGCGGCGGTGGGGGGAAGGGAGCCGAGGAATGGCGCCCGGCAACGACCATCGTGTAGAGCAAGTAGTCCATGAGGTAGAGGTCAGACACGGTCACTTTGTGGAAGGTCACGGCCGTCGGAGAGCAGCAGCCGAGGCCCTTCATGGGAGGAGGGGCGGGCGGGCATTCATTGTTATTCATTATTGATAATTATTGTTTACTACTTTGTAATTACCAACATTATTATCAACATCAGTATCATCAACCATCTTCATCACTATATTTATCCACTATCATTATGTTTTTATGAAGGGAGTCTCTTATCAAAGATGTAAACTCACGTACACGCACGTAACAGGGAGGCACACACTCACAGTCGTATTCTTTCTCTGCTTCTCTCTTTTTTTCTACACACTTTTTTGCTTTTCTCTTTTTCTCCGACTGTCTCTGCCTGTCTCTTTCTCTCTCTTCCCTTCTTTTCTCACTATTCCCTCCTTTCTTTCTCGCACTTTCTCTATTGTGCTCTCCGTCTCTCTATCTCTTTACTCTCTCTCTCTCCCTCCTTCTCCCCTTTTTCCTTTTGCCCCCTCTCTCTTACTCCCTCTTTCCTTCTCTCTCTTCCTCCCTCTTTCCTTCTCGCTTCTTCCTCCCTCTTTCCTTCTCGCTTCTTCCTCCCTCTTTCCTTCTCGCTTCTTCCTCCCTCTTTCCTTCTCGCTTCTTCCTCCCTCTTTCCTTCTCGCTTCTTCCTCCCTCTTTCCTTCTCGCTTCTTCCTCCCTCTTTCCTTCTCGCTTCTTCCTCCCTCTTTCCTTCTCGCTCCCCCTCCCTCTCTCCCTCTCCCTCCCCCTCCCTCTCTCCCTCTCCCTCTCTCCCTCTCCCTCTCCCTCTCCTCCCTCCCTCTCCTCCCTCCCTCTCCTCCCTCCCTCTCCTCCCTCCCTCTCCTCCCTCCCTCTCCTCCCTCCCTCTCCTCCCTCCCTCTCCTCCCTCCCTCTCCCCATCTCCCCTCTCCTCCCTCCCTCTCCCCCTCTCCCCTCTCCTCCCTCCCTCTCCCCCTCTCCCCTCTCCTCCCTCCCTCTCCTCCCTCCCTCTCCCCCCCTCTCCCCTCTCCTCCCTCCCTCTCCCCTCTCCTCCCTCTCCTCCCTCCCTCTCCCCCTCTCCCCTCTCCTCCCTCCCTCTCCCCCTCTCCCCTCTCCTCCCTCCCTCTCCCCCTCTCCCCTCTCCTCCCTCCCTCTCCCCCTCTCCCCTCTCCTCCCTCCCTCTCCTCTCCCCTCTCCCCCTCTCCTCCTCCCTCTCCCCCTCTCCTCCTCCCTCTCCCTCTCCCCTCTCCTCCTCCCTCTCCCTCTCCCCTCTCCTCCTCCCTCTCCTCTCCCCCTCTCCTCCTCCCTCTCCCTCTCCCCCTCTCCTCCTCCCTCTCCCTCTCCCCCTCTCCTCCTCCCTCTCCCTCTCCCCCTCTCCTCCTCCCTCTCCCTCTCCCCCTCTCCTCCTCCCTCTCCCTCTCCCCCCTCTCCTCCTCCCTCTCCCTCTCCCCCTCTCCTCCTCCCTCTCCCTCTCCCCCTCTCCTCCTCCCTCTCCCTCTCCCCCTCTCCTCCCCCTCTCCCTCTCCCCCTCTCCTCCCCCTCTCCCTCTCCCTCTCCTTCCCCCTCTCCCTCTCCCTCTCCTCCCCCCTCTCCCTCTCCCTCTCCTCCCCCCTCTCCCTCTCCCTCTCCTCCCCCCTCTCCCTCTCCCTCTCCTCCCCCCTCTCCTCTCCCCTCCTCCCCCCTCTCCCTCTCCTCTCCTCCCCCCTCTCCCTCTCCCTCTCCTCCCCCCTCTCCCTCTCCCTCTCCTCCCCCCTCTCCCTCTCCCCTCCTCCCCCCTCCCCCTCTCCCTCCTCCCTCTCCTCCCCCCTCTCCCCTCTCCCTCTCCTCTCCCCCCTCTCCCTCTCCCTCTCCTCCCCCCTCTCCCTCTCCCTCTCCTCCTCCCTCCTTTCCCTCTCCTCCTCCCTCCTTTCCCTCTCCTCCTCCCTCCTTTCCCTCACCTTAACTGGCTTATACAGATGCTGCTTCTTGTCCTTCCCCATGAGCAACGAGGCAGCGCTCAGTTGGGAGAACCTCGCTCGTCTCGTGTGATCTCTAGAATCTCCGAAACGAACCCCAGAGGCCACCATACAACGAGCTGTGTGTGGGGGGGGGGACGATTTTTTTTGTTTTTAAAGAAGATGGAGTGAATTGAAGAATTTAATAAGCGTTGTTTTTTTTGTGTGACATGAGGGGTGGGGTGGGTAGGGGGTAATGGGGGTGTTTATGTGACATGAGGGGTGGGGTGGGTAGGGGGTAATGGGGGTGTTTATGTGATATGAGGTTGGAGCGAAATGGATGTTATGTTGGGAATGAAGTGAAATGCTTCATGGAGACGCCAATTTCTGAAACGTCAAGCTGTTTTTTATTTATTTATTTTTCAATTTCATTATTACTATTATTATTATTATTATTATTATTATTATGTTTTGAGTGACAGGATAAGTTTCTAAACCTCGAGAAGCCTTTATTTTGGTTTCCGTTGACATGGTTGTGTGATATGAAGCCATTATTTTGGGAAGTGTAAACGGTGAAAAAGATGGTAATGAGAAGATGGAAATAAAAAAGACGAAGAAAATGGAGAAGAAAGTAAAGACTAGAAGACATAAGACAGATGAAAGAAAGAAGAAAGACAGGCGAAAGAGAGGAGAAAAAGACAGGCAAAAGAAAGAGAAAAGAAAGACAAGCATAAGAAAGAGAAAAGAAAGACAAGCATAAGAAAGAGAAAAATAAAGACAGGCGAAACACAGAAGAAAGAAAGATAAAAAAAAACGAAAATAAAGAAAGAAGACAGAAAAACGCCAATGACCCCGAAACCCCCACGTCCAGCCAAAACGAACCTGCGGCAGCGTCTTCTGCAGGTCGTCTGCTGCGGTACTTCAAAGGGCACTTGTCGGCGTCGATGCCTCGCTCAACCACGCGCCGGACAGCTTCTCTGCTCATGACGTAGCCCGCCCCTGTGGGAGGGGGGCGGGGGATAAGCGTGGGGGGAGAAAGGGAAGGGGAATGAAGGGGGGAGAGAAAGGGAAGGATAAACGTAGGGAAAGAAAGGAGAGGGGAAATGTGGGGGAAGAATGGGAAGGAAAATAAGGGGAAATAAGGAATAATGTAGTGCGGAATAATGGGGAAGGAAAGGGAAAGGAAATGGGGGGGGGGGGGGAGGCTAAGAAGTATAAGGGAAAGAAATAGAAGGGAACTACAAAGAAAGCAGGAGAAAGGAAATAGTCACGATAAGAATTGAAATCAAATCGTAAGAAATGAAATCAAATCGTGAAGTTTCGAACTCATCAAAAAAAAAAAAAAAAAAAAAAAAATCATCAGACGAAAAAAAAAAACAAATTTAAAATCAGTGTGAGTTGAAGGGGGGGGGGGAGTAATTGCTCAAGTATTTTTTTTAAGCATTTCACAGACATTTCCAAGCAATATGAAAGAAACTGTAGCGCTTTCATGTTTCATAAGGCCATGAACATGACGACATTATTAAGCTTCAAATCTCTTGTCGGCTTTCATGGCTAAAGTAAGGATAAAAATATGAATGGAATTTTAAAGGAAATTACATGCATCCGTGAATTCAGGCGATATTTGATTGCCGTTTTAGCTTAAGGGCCATGGATAGACTACTGGGAAGGTGGAAGAGGCACACGCAAACATCTGGGCAGACAAACAGGAGAGCCACTTATAAGCAGACAAACAGGAGAGCTACTTACAGGGAGACAAACAGGAGAGCTACTTACAGGGAGACAAACAGGAGAGCTACTTACAGGGAGACAAACAGGAGGGTCACTAACAGGCAAACAAACAGGAGAGACGCTTACAGGCAGACAAACGGGAGAACCACTTACAGGCAGATATAGAGAGCCCAAGTCACACACACACAAAAAGACAAATAATAGGGCAGATCGAGCTACAGATAGACAGACCGAGGTATACGCTCTTTCAGTGAGAGAGAGATAAACAGACCGGACCACCAACACACAGACTTACAGAGCGACAAACCAACGTCACAAACAAACACACAGACTTACAGAGACAACACCAACACACAGACTTACAGAAAGTGAACCAAAGCCACAAACAAACACACAGACTCACAGAGACAACACAAACACACAGACTTACAGAGCGACAAACCAAAATCACATACAAATACACAGATTTACAGAAAGTGAACCAAAGCCACAAACAAACAGACTTAGAAAAAGTGAACCAAAGCCACAAACAAACACACAGACTTACAGAGACAAACACACAGACTTACACAAACAAAACAAACAGGCCAAAACAACAGACCTCCAGGGACAGAGAGACAAGTAAGAAAAGGGAGAACTTGCCTCCAGTTAAGTAACCTTTCCCGGGTACGTTTCCTTTGAGTCGACACCCCATGGCAATAGGCTGGCTGGGGTCGTAAGGAGACAGCATGTACCGCAGGTTATCTACCACCACGTACCTGCAGAAGGGAGAAGAAGGAGAATGGGGAATGGTGGAGAAAGCTGGTGAAAATTGGGGAGGGGGGAATTGAGGAAAACTAGTAAGAATGGTTAAAAGCTGGAGGGAAAGGGTGAAAATTGGTGATAATTTGGTGGGTAATGGTGAAAATGGGTGAAAGAGTTGGTGGGGAATGGTGAAAAATAGTGAAAAAGTTGGTGGACAATGGTTGAAATGGGTGAAAATAGTAAAAATAGTAAAATAAACGATCTGAAAATGTGTGTGAAATTTGGACCAGATATAATGACGATTGCGTTTAGTAATAGAAGAACAAAAAGCCCAAAGGAATACAAGTTCTGCATATGAAGATAGAATATTGTCAAGATTTTTGAATTTTAGATTACCTGCAACTCCAGCAGTGACAACTTTAATACTACAATGCTAAGCTTTTATCTAATTTGATTTTTCATCTGTTGTATTTGCTTAATGGTCTGTCGGTCGTCACCAGCCTGAAGTCAATCATCATTAATTTATCAAATGTACCTTCGCCTCGGTTAAAGAGAAGAAAATAGAGCAAAAAAGAGTGATAGTGTAGTGGTGTCGTTAACAATGTTAATATACATGATGAATGTATAAGTCGCTGTAAAAGTGTTGATGATAATGGTAATATCAATAATGTTTCCTGTCTTTTCGATGTGTTCTTTCTTACCTTCTCTTTAACTTTTCTCGCGCATTTTTTTTTCTCTCTCTCCCTCTCCCATTCCCTCTTCCTCTTATTACTCTTCTTCCTCTTCCTTTCCCTATTCATCTTCCTTTCCCTCTCCCTCTCCCTCCCCCATTCTCTCTTCCTCTTCCTCTCCCTCTCTCTCCTCCTCTCGCTCACCTTTACTCTCTCTTTCTCCATCTCCCTCTCTCTCATTCCCTCTCTCTCTCACCCTCTCGTCTTCTCCACTCTCCCACCTTCTCTCTCCGTTCCCGTCTCCACCCCACCCCATATCTCTCTCTCTCTCTCTCTCTCTCTCTCTCTCTCTCTCTCTCTCTCTCTCTCTCTCTCTCTCTCTCTCTCTCTCTCTCTCTCTCTCTCTCTCTCTCTCTCTCTCTCTCTCTCTGCACCTCCCTCACCCTCATCCACATCCCCCCCACACCATGAAAGACCTCGCCCTCGAGACAGCCGAGTCGAGGAGGACTCACGTGTCATCGTCGGCCTTGAGGAACCAGTCGTACTCCTGAAGGTGGTGGTCGTACAGGTACTTGAAGGCGGCCCTGGTCTTTAGCCACAGCTTGTAGAAGCCCTCGGGGACGCGCAGGTCCACGGCTCCGAGTTCCGGGTCTGGAGGCAGGAATGGGAGTGAGAATGGGAATGGGAATGGGAATGGGAATGGGAATGGGAACGAGAATGGGGATGGGAATGGGAACAGGACTGGAAATGGGAATGTAAAAGGAATGGAAACGAAAATGGGAAAGGAATGGGAATGGGAATTGGGAATGGGAACGAGAACCAGAATGGGGATGGAAATGGGAACGGAAATGGAAAAGGAATGGAAAATGGAATGGGAATGATAATGCGAATGGGAACAGGAATGGGAAAGGAATGGGAACGGGAATGGGAATGAAATAGGAATAGGAAGAGGAATGGGAATATGACATGAATATAAATATAAAAATGAATAGAAACTGAAATAAAAATAGAAACAGGAAGGGGAAGAAGAAGGGGAAGGAGAAGAGGAAGAGGGAGAAGAAAATGAAGAAGAAGAAGAGGAAGAAGGATATACAGGTCGACGGCTCTGAAGGAAGGGAGGAAGAAGGGAAGATGTGATGAATGGAGGAGGAAGGGAGGAAGAAGGGAGAGAAGAGGAAGACGAGGGAGTGCAGGGGGGGGGGGGGGAAGAAGGAATGGGAGGGGGAAGGGAAGGAGGAGGAAGAGGAGGATAAGAATAAAAAGAAAGACAAAAAAAGAAGAAGAATGAGGAAGGAAGGAAGAGAGAAGAGGAGGAGGAAGGAAAGAAAATATGAAGGAAGGCGGGGAAGAAAAGTGGAAGAAAAGAGGGAGAGATAAAAAGGACGGTCGAAAAGGAGGAGAGAGAACTAGCAGATAAAGATAAGACCCACACCCTCACTCTCACCCCCCCCCCCCCAACCCCCCCCCCCCCCCACCCACCCATACTCGTGCCCCGAGCCATCCACTGCCCAAACCCTCTTTGGTGCTTCATGCTTCCCCCCTCTCCTCGTGTCCTTAACCCCCCCACTCGTGTCCTTAACCCCCCCCCCTCGTGTCCTTAACCCCCCCTCGTGTCCTTAACCCCCCCACTCGTGTCCTTAACCCCCCCCTCGTGTCCTTAACCCCCCCTCGTGTCCTTAACCCCCCCACTCGTGTCCTTAACCCCCCCCTCGTGTCCTTAACCCCCCCTCGTGTCCTTAACCCCCCCACTCGTGTCCTTACCCCCCCCTCGTGTCCTTAAACCCCCAACCTTCTCCCCCCCCCACACACTCATTCCCTCTGGGCCTCCCGGAGAATGGGGAATGATTAATGGAATGATTTATTATTATTGTTATTATTATTATTAAATTTCCCCCGCACATACTCTGCGTCCCCAACCCCTCCCACACCCGCACTCACCCCCACTCCCCCGCCGCCCACACTTCCCCGCACCCCTACCCCCTCCCACACCCGATCTCACCCCCACCCCCCATGCCGCCCACACCCACACTCACCCCACCCCCTCCCACACTTACCCCACCCCCCACCCCCCATGCCGCCCACACCCACACTCACCCCACCCCCTCCCACACTTACCCCACCCCCCACCCCCTCCCACACTTACCCCACACCCCACTCCCTCCCACACCCCCACCCCCCATGCCGCCCACACCCGCACTCACCCCACCCCTTCCCACACTTACCACACACCCCACCCCCTCCCACACTTACCCCACACCCTCCCACACCCGCACTCACCCTCCCCCCCGCCGCCCACACTTACCCCACATCCCACTCCCTCCCACACCCGATCTCACCCCCCACCCCCAACCCTTCCCACACTCGCACTCACCCCCCCCCCCCCCCCCGCCGCCCACGCTTACCCTCTTTGGTACTCATGAAGATGAGTTTGTCGCAGCGCCTCCCCCACGTGGCTTTGACATGCACGGCCGACTCATTATGCTTAGAAGGACACATGAGAACCCAGCATAGAACCTTCACTTTCCTTAGTACGTCTCTCTCCTTTTGTCTTGCTTCCTCCTCCTTCTCCTGCTCCTCCTCCTCCTTTTCCGTGTCTTCTCCCTCTTCTTCTTCTTTCGTTCTCTCTTCTTCTTCTTCTTCTTCTTCGTCTTCCTCTGCCATCGTCTTCTGCGTTTCTTCTTCTGTCGCGTCTCTGGTTGGCGTTTCGAGGAGTTGCCATGAT